CCACGCCGCCGTCGCCTTCGGTTACCTAATCGCCAGTGCTTACTTTGTTACGAGCTCTTACAGCTTCCAGCTCCTTCTCCAACGATGCGATTCTCTCCAAGAGTTCCAACATTGGAGGTGGCTGGATCTGTTCTGGTACAATACCTCCCACCGTGGTAGGCTCCAGTTTGGGAAGCTGTCACCGTGATAGCAGTGGTCTGGCTAGGAATTAGCGACGCCATAGTACCTATCACATTCTTCTTCACCTGCTTATTTCCCGCGCCACTGCTCCATTGGGTGTTGCATTGTTGTATTCTGCCCAGGAACTTAAACCAATCTATTCGCTGTCCGTGTTCCGAAGCTGCCCGCATCTTCCTCTGCGCTGCCTGGGCCTTGCAGTCGACCTCTAGGACTGCGAATAAAAGACCATGTCGCTGGCCCCACAGAGTTGCCTTTAACGGCCGGTTTTCACCCCGCGAGTAGAAAGGTTACTCAGGCTGACTGTCGTTCTAAGGCCGTTTTATTCAGGAAATATTCACGTAGAACATAACCTAACACAATTCTGTAAGCTAATCTTACCGCAGTATGTCCTCCTCAATTCACCACGCGACAATAAATGCGGAAGCTTAAACCGTGGCGGCAAATAAATGGCCGCCCAGTCTGACCGTTCACCGATCGAGATCTAATCCATACATTTATCGATATATTTACTAAAACTATCTTAAGTCCTATCGGGTTAACTACCATCCGTCGAAACAGCACAGTTACCTGCTCCGTATTCAATTTTTCACGCTTTTGCCAGCTGTTTTGAGCATCCTTGGTTAATAGTGACCGTGTTACGTACCCTCCCCATACAAAGATTAATCCCAGCGAAACAACTGTCTTAAGTTGTGGGTAGGGGCCACGAATGATTAAAAACACTCAGATTGATAAGGGCGAAAAGCAATACAATTCGACAACTCACGAGTGTCGCTTGGCCAGAACAACGACCACGATCGACCTGCTCGTAACCGTACTCCAGTAGGTCGCAAAGTGCGCCAGCCGACAGCTGACTCCTAAGATAGGGGAAATATAGAAACAGTACCCCTAGGTGGGAACACCTAGTTAATTCATCCAATTTGGGGGGCTAGCGAAAGCTCTAGTCCGCTATAAAAGATCCTAGTCAAATAGAGAAGACAGACTGAAATTGTTATGATCTCCGACAGTGGTTTAGAAGTACAACTCCCATCAACACAGACCACGACTGAAAGAAAACTGGTGTCCAGAAGGATGTCTTGACCGTTTCCCTAGGATCAACTTCACCCCGGGAGAAAGTCCTGATTACCGGTCCTGCGATCGACCGCATCCTGAAGGAAGTCCACCTAAAAACTCCAAAGGACGAAGAGAACTGGTGAACCAAGCGTATGGCCTAAGGACCCCCAGATTGGCACCGCCAATGTCATTAACACCGTGGAGATCGTTGACCACAAGGATGATATTCAAGACATTAACAAGACCATGAAGCTCATCGTTGGACTTCTCCTGGTTCTGGTGCTCCTTAAAGTTATTAAGATCTACAAGCTCTCCGTTCAGAGACTCCGCGACCAACATCACGCCCTGGAGAAAGTAGTGACCCACATCGGAGCATAAGCAGAGCAGTGAAACAGCAAAAAAACAATAAAAACAATAGAAGGCGAATAAATTGCATTCAAAATTATAAACAAAAAGTGAATCGCCAAAAACAATTACAAACGATTTCCGAGTGCATGCATTTCTGAACTCAGTGGAACTCATACATATATATATCATACATATCTATACAGCAATAGTGTTATTTTTTTGTGTAACGTAAGTTTCGTGTTATGTTTTTGTGAACCGCCATCCAATATATATATATATGTAAATCAATTTGAACGTATCCGAAGGCCCAGGATCCGGAGCGTCGAGATCTAATCGCCCAGGATTAAAAGGAGGGTAAGTTTGTCGGAACGAGGTTCCCATTTTTTATGAATATATATACTCGTACATATATCCGTACACCATGATCACTACACAAGCATTATCTAAAAGAATAGACAATAATCCATAGTTCAACTTAAGAATTAAATAATTATTATCAAATGCAATCCTACCAAGAACTGTAGATGAATTAGTGAACTTATATATTAAGACCTTCCGTCTAGATTTCTCACTACTTGTACACTGTGACAAGACCGAAAAGGCTATTATCATCTCTCCCATTCCAACACTCATTGTTCTCTCTCATTTAGATAAAAATGTTTTTTTGGGCAATGCTAATACCTTCCTAGTTAAGATCAAGAATAATCTTTTAGAAATAACTATTCATATATAATCATTTAGATATACGTTCCTTTTTCATAAATTTTACATTTATTATATATCATAATTAAATGCTAATTTTTCAGCGGCGAGTATCAGCCTTATAGTTGTATGTACAATTGCAGGAGCCCTCTGAGCGACGTTCGCAGTCGTGAATAGTCAGCGTTTTGCTGATGTGTGCACCTTCACGGGTGGTAAATTCGATACTCTCCGCTAGTTTTTAATTTTAATTTAATTAATTCCATATGCATTAGCCTATTATTACTCATTCACGGTGGACGCCGATATATATTAACTAATAAATTTATAATGTGAAAAATATTTCGAAACTGACGCGAGGAGTGGAGTAGGTCAAGAACAAGAACAATGAGATAACTTTCGACGGACAACCTTGACAATAAAGGATCGTATTGCGCGACCCGCGACGAATCATTGTGTGATGGGGAGGGAATATGGTCAGTGTGGACTGACGACTGACGAACTTTATGGACTAATATTATTTTCCAGGCACTTTAAATATTTATTCTCGCTATGTTGGAGAGGAGAGAGGCTTACCAAGATCCCACGACCCGAATACGACGTATCTTATGCCAGCAAATGGTGCCTGAATATTGGACGCCTCTCCCTCGGCCCAAGTCCTTGTCAGGACTCGGGCACTAATATGCCCTCGTAACAGAATTGGCGCCCAACGTGGGGCATTTCATTTTCCTTTTCCTTTTCCTTTTTTAAGGAATTTTACCAGGGTCCACAATCTCGGTTCCTGCGGGATCGGAGTGGATGTACCTAGGGATGGCAAAGCTTTCATCTTTATTTGCCATTAGTAATTTGACTGTTTTATAGAGCAGGGAGCTTAAATAATTTTAAATATGCACCTACTTATTTGTTTTTGTCTTTAAATTAGTAACCGTAAAGTCCCCAACTTCTGTGACTGTCAGTATAGAGAGGCCACTCAATCAGAACTTTGTCGCAGAATAGAGGCCTGACTTTGAAAACGGCCGACGCCCCACGCTAGTTGGTCAGGTCGATTGCTTGGTTCGAGTCCAGAGAAAGAGGAGACGGTTGTGGAGCCCGAGAATGATCGGTCAAACAACTTGTTTTCCGACGACTGGCGGGAGGGGGTTTTTTTGGACAGATCCCTTATCTAAACACAGCTAGTTTCAGCTTGGAACATTTGAGCTGAATGGAAAGGGAAAGTAAGGGCATGTTAGTTTATCGGAACCCAGTTGTGTAGAAGCGGCTAACACCTCTAGTTAGGTATATATGTTTTGTTTTGTTTTTGGGGCTTAAATATCGGACGGATCTTGACCGAAAAGAAACTTGAGAAGCAGAGAGAAGCACCCCCAGTTTATAAACATTTTTATTGTCGACTTATTCAGCGTTTGTGTCGCTGACCGGGTGTTTTAAAAAGAATCACGTGAACCTTTTATACCAAACGAAAAAGAAGTGAAGACAATTTTAGTGCGTGTATTAATCAGCACAAAGTGACAGTTTATTAAAGAAAGCGGAGGCCTTTAAAAAAAGGCCCAATCATATAAATGAAGTGGGCCAAGAAGAAGGTCTTATTCCAAATCAGCACCGGAAGCGTGCCTAGGCTGGGAGATTCACCTCAAAGAGAGCCGCGGGAGCTCGCACAGAACCAGCCAGGACATGTAGATACCCTGTCTGAGCAAAACAATATGGACCAATATACTGAAATGGAAGGAGCCGCCGATGAGGAGAATCTACCCCTAGGACCGCCGAAGGGGAGACCAAGTATGCTTCCCCACTTTCAAAGGCATGAAGAGGACAACTTAGAGGCTGCCGAGCGGCGGGTACAAGGATTGATGGAGCTCTTGAGGCAGAGCAACGAAATGCAGCGTGGTATGAGCGCCCAGATAGAAGCTCTGAAAACACAAATAGCAGAATTGCAGTTTCCAAAATCCAGGAGACCCGAACAGAAGGGACTGCCTTCGCCGCCCCGAGCTGTTCCGAATCCCACGGACAGTTTCTTAAAATATCAAGAGACTCCGCCTCTGGAACCGGTAACGCAGGACATGCTCAATAGTCAGATGCACCGGCTAAGAACACCCAGGCGGGTTAATACTCCGTCACACAGGCAATCCAGAACAAACGAGAGGGAGACAAGTCACCAACTGAATCCAGAGATCGATCGGAACTCATCATTTCAGGGACCAAGACCAAAAGATGTCAGATTAGGCAGATGGAACCAGTTCAATGGAACCGGTCGCGGCATGACAGTTGTAAGTTTCCTGTTCCGCGTGGACCGATTGCAAGAATTGTATGACCTCAGCCGCCAACAAGTCTTTCGTGAAATCCATCTTCTGTTGGCAGGTGCAGCCACGAAATGGTATTGGCAATTAGTGGAGGACAAGGCAGAAGATTACAATTTTGACTACTACTCATTGACCCAGGAAATGAGACGGGCATTTTTCACTACCGGAAAGGACCTTATGAAAGTCAAGGAATTAATGGAACGCAAGCATGGGCCACACGAAACCCTTAGCGATTATGTCTCGGACATGCATAACTTGCATTTAAAGCTCAAGCAAAAAATCGCTAAAGATGAATTCGTTGAGCTCTTGAGGGACAATATGAACTCCCAGATGGGGGGATTGCTGTTAACATCCCCAATAACTTCATAAGCGGAGCTCAAAAGAGAGGGTCTCCGAGTAGATCGCTGGTTGAGAAATACTGGAAGAAACATGCGCAGCCGAGCAGCGGTCAACGAAATAGAGGAATTCCAGACACTAGAGGACTCGCCGGACGCGGTCACGGTGGAAGAATTTAACCGGCAGCGGAAAGATACACGAGGGCGTTATGAGGATGGACAAGGATGACACGGAGGACACGCGCTGGTGTCAGTGTCCATCCTTCGAAGAACGAAATCCTGCCCGATCAAATGCCACGATGCCACGTGCACGTTCTGCCAGGAAGTCGGGACGGAGGCAGATGCTAACCCAGCGGCTTTTGCGCGGAGTCCGTCAGGCAAGAGCGGGATAGCCGGGCGGACCGGGACCAACCCTTTTCGGTAAAAACACCAAAGCCCAAACAAATCTCCCCTCATAAGAGCCTAGAACAACGAGAGAGGGAGTACGAATTCGCTCGCGAACGTATCTTCACAGGCTCGGAAGATGCAGATAGCGAGACACGAACAAAACGGAAAATACTAAAATTATATGATGCCCGAGCAGACTATCGCCGGCTCAAGCAAAAGGTGGTGGACACGGGGTGAGCGTGCAAAATGACAACCGTTTCTTTGCCAAAAAGGAGGCCAGTGCGAACTGTATTGGCAGAGGAGTGCTCGCTTTCTTAAAAAACCGGACGCGGCCGATAAGGAAGCTAAGTAAAGAATGTGGACGCACAGCCAGCGGTGGTGAGACCCAAGTAACCGGATCCATAACGTTACCTGTAGAATGGGAAGGAGAAACCAAGGACCTAGAGTTTTTAATAGTGCCAGGTCTGACACAACGATTTTTTCGCAATTAATTTCTGGGATTCGTTCGGCCTCACATTCCTCGTCAAAGGTGGACGCGAGGTTGCCGCCGTTAAAACAGCACCGGATTTCGACCTTATGACCGGAGACCTAGACATGAACAATACGCTCAAGCCCCACATCAGCTTACCCCAGATCAACATTCTAAGCTGCAGCAAGTGATAGACACATATCCCTCCTGTCTGGAAAGGGGACTAGGAAAGACTAGCTTAGAGCAACATATAATTGAAGTGACCAACGAGGACCTACCAATCAAGCAGCGACATTACCCGATATCCCCAGCTAAACAGAAGCTGGTGTGTGCCGAACTAGATCGCTTGCTGGTTCTAGGCGTGATCGAAGAGAGCAATAGTAGCTGGAGTTCTCCGGTAACTCTGGTGCAAAAAGGGCCGAAAAATCGCCTTTGCCCCGACGCACGTAAGATGCGTAACCACTACCACATATCGAGGGTCTGTTGAGTCAACTACAAGAAACGTATTACATTTCCGCAATTGACTTAAAAGACGCCTTTTGGCAAATACCCCTCGAAACCAAAAGTAGAGAGAAAGCCTCGATTACAGTGCCTGGCAGGCCACTGTATTAGTTTATAGTCATGCCGTTCTGCTTGTGCAATGCCGCGCAGTGAATGGGCCGACTAATGGGTCGACTTATACCAGCGGCGCTACGCGAAAATGTATTTGTGTATCTGGATGACTTACTGGTCTGTTCACCTACATTGATATGTTGAGCCAGGTCAGTGCCTGAGAGTGGTGAAAGCAGAGAGTGCGGACGCGTTCTAAAATCGCTCCGTTTATTCCCTAAAGTTTTCAGCATAAATCCAGAAGTGCAGCCGGCCATCCGGCGTGGAGCACTTGGGACACGCACCTGGACATCAGCTGGTGGTCGGGAGGCCGTGGACGACATCCAGGAGCAGCTTGGGAATCTACCCCCAACAGGTTTGGCGGCCAGGCAGGGGCCGGTCGTAGGTGAGGGAGGGGAGGCATCTCTGCCTCTTATTACTTTCCACTCGTTGTTTGTTTAGCAGTTGCAAATTTTTTTTCACTCGCGCTTTCTATTTTCGCAAACACCGAATCAGTGGTGGAAAGCGCTTGCGCGACCAGCTGATCGTAGTGAGCGAAAGGGGCTGCGGGTGCTATAGCAGCAAGCTTCGGACAGGGTGCAGGCCAAGCACATAAGTGCGTGCCGTAGCACGTAGGGAATTTTGGGCGGCTCTTTTAAAAAATTAGAAAATAAAAAAACCATAAACCTTATTACTAAGATTTATCCCTTTTATTAAATAATTTATAAAAATATTAAAGTCCGATCGAAGAACAGCAGGATACTGCGGGAAAAGATCCAAGCTTCCTGCAGTACCATCGAACTCCCCAGGCGGGGAAATGGTGGGCAGTGGATCGGGAGCACAACACCCTGGCGCTAGCCTAGGGGTTGGGCCAACTAATAGTGGAGGCACGCCGGCAAACAAAGGCTTGGCGGCGCCGGCTAATGCCGACGGCTTCCACACGCCTTTGTCCAGTCTACCTGACTGGGCCAACACGGGAGCTGACCCGTTTAAAAAAGCAGTGTAATGGCGAGATCGCCAGAAAAATGGGTGGAGTGCAGTGGCAGGCAGCCTGGCACTAATATGCTCATGGAACAGAATTGGCGCCCAATGGTATGAATTTTCATATTCCTTAAGGAATGTTATTAGGGGCAACCCTCTCGATGCCTGCGGTATCGGAGTGGATGCACCTAGGTATGGCAAAGCTTTCATATTTATTTGTCATGAGTAATTTAACTTAAATAATTATAAATATGCACCTACTTATTTGTTTTTGTCTTTAAACTAGTAACTTTAAAGTACCCAACTTCTGTGACTGTCAGTGTTGAGAAGCCTCTCAAACAGAACTTTGTCTCAGAATAGAGGCTTGACTTAAAGGTGTTTTAATTTTAGTCTTTTACAATCCTATAATTTTTCTGTTCCGTTCATGGGCAAGCTTACCAGAATTTCCTTAAATCTAGCACTATGAGGTTTCCTTAATACAATACCATGAAACTACGTTCTGACCGACTACTGAATGAAATTAACGTAAATACAATTTAAATGTGCTTTCTGGTCGACGCCCCATGACGTACCAGGCATTTGCCAGGACGTTTGATAGGTTCGAGTCCAGAAAGAACAGGAGCGCAAACATTACTGTAAAGCATTTAGCCATTGCGGTGCGGGTCTACTGTTCGTTTGTCGATCCAGGTCAGAAAGGGAGGTGGGGAAACTGACAGGAAACGCAAAGCCGACGCCCCACGACGTACTAGACATTTGTCGGGTCGTTTGGTTGGTTCGCGTCTTTTCGGTTTTGCTTGACGTATTTGGGAAGTGGAAGATTTTTTAGTTTCTCTGGCCGACGCCCCACGACGTACTAGGCTAGTTAGTCAGGTCGTTTGCTTGGTTCGAGTCCAGAGAAATGGGAAACGGTTGTGGAGCCCGAGAATGATCGGTCATACAACCTGAATTCCGACGACTGGCGGGAGGTGGTTTTTAGACAGATTCCTGGTCTAGACGCAGGCAGTTTCCGTTTGGAACATTTGAGCTGACGAGAAAGGGAAAGAAGGGGCATGTTAGCTTAGCGGTACCTAGTTGTGTAAAATCGGCCCCTAGTTGGGGAAGGAAGCGATTCCGACCCCATAAAGTATATATATTCTTCATCAGGATCACTAGTCGATCTAGCCATGTCCATCTGTCCGTCCGTCCGGATAAACGCTTTCTCGGAAACTATAAGAGCTAGGCCATTGAGACTTGGCATGCAGATTCCTGAGGTTCTTACGCAGCGCAAGTTTGTTTCAGCTGGGTGCCAAGCCCACTCTAAGTAAAATACAAATTTTAACTGAAATGTGTTGTTTTTATCAATATCTATCGATTGACCCAAAAAAAAGTTTGCCACGCCCACTTCAACGCCCACAAACCGCCCACAAACTTCAAAAGTTCGTAAGTATGAACGCGGATATCTCGGAAACTATCAAAGATAGATTATTGATTTTTCAGATTTTGATTCCATAGGCTTGTACGCAGCGCAAGTTTGCTACGCGAATATGCCACGCCCACAAAACGCATAAGCCTGTGGCGCCCACAATTTTCGTTCTAGTGAATAAATTTTAACTGAAATGTATTTGTCTCGTCAATACCTATCGATTCAATATCCAAAAAAAGTTTGCCACGCCCACCCTAACACCCACAAACCGCCAAAGCCTGTGGTGCCCACAATTTTCATGCTAGAAAAAAATTTTGCCACGCCCACTCTAACGCCTAAAACGCTTAAATCAGTCTACCGCCCACATAACCATATATTGAGATCGCGGGTAGGTGGCGCATTTTAATCTTGCTTTACTGCTTGTATATCTCCATTTCCCTTTGGTTTCTTAAGCTGAGTAACGGATATCTGATAGTCGAGGTACTCGACTATAGCATTATGGTTTTTGTGGTATGTTTTTGTAAGCCGCCACCCAATATCGCACGTATTTATATATATATAAACCAATTGTAACATCTCCCATAGCCCAGGATCCGGAGCGTGGAGATCTCATCGCCCAGGATTAAAATGAGGGTAAGTTTGTCGGAACGAAGTTCCCAGTTTTCTTTTATGAATACATATATATATATCCATGCACCATGGTCACTACACAAGCATTAGCAAAGACTATAGACAATGATCCACAGTTTAACGTAAGAATTCTATATTTGTTATCAAAAGACCTTCCGTCTAGATTTCTAACCACTTACACACTGTAACAAGACAGATAAGGCAATTATTATCTCTACCGTTCCAACGGTCATTGTTCTCTCCCGTTTAGATAGAAATGTATTTTGGGCCAATGTTAATACCTTCCTAGTTAAGATCAAGAATTAATCTTTTAAAAATTCTAATAATAATATTCATACATAATAACTACATTTTACATTTTTATATATAATAATTAAATGTTAATTTTTCAGCGGTGTGGAATGACGACTGACGAACCTTATAAACTAATATTATTTTCCAGCCACTTAAAATATTTATTCTCGTTATGTTAAAGGGGAGAGAGGCTTACCAAGACCCCACGACCCGAATACGACGTAGCTTATGCCGGCAAATGGTGCCTGAACATGGGACGCCTCCCTGTCAGGACTCGGGCACTAATATGCCCACGTAACAGCCGTGCAAAAAAACGACAGCCTCAGAAAAATAATTTTATCGAATTTTGTGGGTGTGGCCTGTAATTAATACATCAATTAATTTAAACAAGGAAGAACGCTTAAGTCACTTAAGC